TTGTTTTTATATTATATTTAGACCTCAAATGGGAAACATGCTATTTTAGAATCTACAAAGTAAATTAAATGCTTGCGTCGAAATGATTTTCACAAAAATTAAGGTAAATACTAGGCAATATTGCTGTTGAATCTCGCCTTGCCAAGGCAAGGCGAGGATTAGTGCACCTTGCAAGCAAGGTGCACTAATCCCGTATTGTTTTCTTTTGTGGAACGAACTGCATGACACTGAGTAGTGTTTTGGCGCGAATTTTAAATATAATAAATAAATTTAAAAAAATTAAATCGAAACCTTTATTATCTGCAGAAATATGTTATTCATTGTAAATAATATACATTTCCGAAAAAAATCTGCCATCATGCCTATTGTCATTTTTGGCATTGAGGCCCGCTTTTCCATTTAAAACGCATTGATGTCAAAGTGTATATTTTTTGACAAACGCAATTTAAATGGAGAAGGTCAATAAAAATCAACATCAATAAAAATAAATCGACACAATGTAGTAAATAGACTTCAAACTCGGGAAATTTCCAGTAGTAATATAACTAGTGCATGAAATATTTCGGGAAATTTTTGAAAATTTTGTCTGAAGCCAATTTTTTAACAAAATCATGAGTGCATAGTGCCTATGGCGCTATGCACGAATGGTTTTATTCAAAAAAATTGGCTAAAGACGAAATTTTTTAAAATATCCCTCAGGAAATATTTTATATTATATATATTATAAAAATTCGTCTTTAACCAATTTTTTTTGTACAAAACCATTATTCGTGCATAGCGCCAAAGAAAAAATCCTTCACCCTTCTGGTTCGAGATTTTTTCAGGTGCTATGCACTCATGATTTTGTTGCCCATTTTTTGTTGGACACTTTTTCGAATTCCTCATATGTATCGATGTTGTTTTCAAGGTGTTTTAGGTGGTTTGGCTCCGTTTGAGTGGGCAGCTCTGTTTGTTTGTCGGTTTGTGCCTCGTTATCGATGAGTATCTTGCTTACCCTTTCGTATTTGTGTCTGTCTAGCCAATGGGCCACTTTCACATTTTTCAAAAACATTTTTAAATTATTCTTTTAGTCATTCTAATACTATCTGTATACTTTTTTTCCGAAAAAAAACGCTTATTTTTGAAAAAAAAATATATTTAAAAATCGAATTTTTGAACTGGCGTGAAAAAATGAACTTGGTGTGTGACGTCACACACCAGAAAATCAAGGATGCCAAATTTCTCATTAGTAAATCATTACATATTTCACTAGCTAGAAAATATTTTCCTCCTTTACTACATTATAAAAAAATAAAGGATAGGTATAATCCTTATTAACTCATTTAAATTTTCATTTCTACATGTGGCAACAAAAATGTCAAAATCGGCTTTAGCCAATCACAGAGCGTTTTCAATCACGTGATTTTTCGTTCAAATTTTTAGTTTTTATTTATTAATTTATCTAATAATCTGACTAAAATCTTGCAAAATATTGTTCATTCTTGGTTGCATTGATGTATCTGCGTCAAAAAATATTATAATTTGCCATATTCCCGGCACGTGAAAGTGGCCCATTCTGTATGAATTTTCTGTTTATCACTTCTAGTTGTCTACTAAATCTTATTGTTAGTTCTTTGATTTCGCGCTTTGTGTTCTGCTCTATTTTCTTCTCTAGATCTTTTCCTATCTTGGTGATGTCTTCTAGAGTCTCTTTTATTACAAAAACCTCTGGGCATTCCTTTTTCTTATCTATAGAATGACTGCTAGGTCGTCTGTCTCCCTGCTTGAAGTGTCAGTTGTTTTCATATTTTTTGCACCCTCGGGAAGTGATGATGAGTTTTGAACCCTACATTTTTGTTCGATATCAATGTTTCCATCTTTAACGCTTCCAGCAGACAGTCCGGTGTTTGTGGTCTCTTACCCTTCATTTCTTCTTCGTCCCACACAAGATCTATTACCTAGTTATTTGAAAAGACTCTCTTTGTCCATCGTTGCTTGGAACGGCTGTATTCATATTATCATGCAGCAGACAGAGTATCTGGATGTACTTTTGCGTTCACCCACCACAATCTTTGTCAATATATTTCAAAGAGCTTCTCTGTTGACTGAATCAAATTTTTCCACTAAATCTATGAAGGACATGTATAGAGGGCCATTTTGTTCTCTGGATTTCTCCTGCATTTCTCTTGCACTGAAAATCATGTCAGCTGTACCTCGGCTGGGTCTAAAGCCACACTAGGAAACGCTGATCCGTTTAACCGGATTACCAAATGTACTGTGTATTTTTTCAATCGTGTTCATTAAAAAAAGATAGAAAACAGCTGGTCATCGGGTCAATCAATCGGATCAGTATTTTCGAAAGGGCATATTGTCTCTAAGAGGTTCTATTTGGCAGTTGGGATTAGACGATTTGATAATATCCTGATTGGTAAAAGGGCAATAAAAATCCTGCAAATTTCATATCGTAGTTCGAGAGGAGAAGATTTTGACATTTTCCAATTTTTCAACTAAATATTTCAAATTCATATCTTGCATTGATGGATAATATGGAGTTTAGGCGGCCTCAGAGTCATTAAAAGACCTTTAATTTGTATCTATGCATGCTTCTGAATCACTTGGTCTGGTTTTAATCAATTTTCGTTTGATGTAATTAGATTAAGAAATTATTATCAAACCGTTTTTCACGAAAATAATTGATCTCTTCATTAGTCAAACAAAAGTATCACCTGCGGGTAATAACTTAATGAAGCCCACCATACCATACCATATCATAAACACTATACATATTTACGATGAAAATAATATAATATATTAAAAAACAAACCTACTTTTTACCAACGTGAATATTTTGGAAATTCGGTCCGCCCCAAAGACAAACTATAATTTCGTCAGGATGGGCGTCCTCGAAGAGGGCATGGATGCGCTTTTCTCAAGCCGTCTCGTATTTGTTTAAGCCATAATTACGTGCAGACATTGTAACTACGGGTGCCCAATTAAAATAATGGGACCATGCCACGAACCATTAACTTATTACTGGAGGGGTCCTGACAGAATCAAATGGCAACGTCCGGGAATATTCAAAAGATAAATTTTTGCAAAACTGTTGCTTTCTCCAGGCAGTACTCTGGTTTATTTTTATCTCTGTTAACAAACGCAAACATATATTTTGGTCAAAGTTTTGATCACCATCAACATCATAGTTTTAACATACGTTAAACATGCAAGATACCATGTATAAATACGTTATTTAATTTCTCATGAATTTTTGTGCAAAAACCTAACATTCTACCTACAACTATCTCTGATGGAGTATTATTTTACGGTTGTTGCGTGTTCAATGTTCATTCTATAATTTTACTAAAAGTAAAATATTAATGGCGGAAGCGGAGGATGAGTTAACAGGTTAAACGTTCAGCACTGTCAAGATAAGTTCAAGAAACCAACTTGCATGACAAAACGAAATAAACCGCATTTCTATTTATGGCTTGTGAGGATAAGTGCATATAGTATATCTGTACGGAATCATAAAATATATTTCTACATTAGAATATTTATTAATTTTATTTTTAACCATATATGAAATGTTGTCATTACTGACTTTTCAAAAATTTGAAAATGTCACATTCCTGTCTTTTCATTTTCCTGGTCCATTACCTGTCCCAGGACGGGAAATGAGGACGGGAAATTTTTTCCGTCCTCATTTCCCGTCCACGGACGGAAAATGGAGCAGGGAAATATTTCCCGTCCTCATTCCCCGTCCTCATTTCCCGACCACATTTATTTTGTTGTCACGAATTTTTTTTTTTTTTTTCAAGAAATCATGGTTAAAAATAAAATAGTATACAAACCTCGACGGGAAACTTCATTGCTATCTCGAGGTTCAGTTTATCTTGACGCTACGCGTCTCGATGAACTATTATTACCTCTCGATCAGCAATGAAGCATTTCCCGTCTCGGATTGTAATATACTATTTTTGCTATGTGGCGAAAGTACCTATTGTATTTTACCTTAGAGGTTGTATTTAATTTAAGTAAACCTTATACAGTGAATAGTTAGAGAAATTTACACACATAGCGTTCCTAGTGTAAATAATTTTCAACCGTTATCATTGCGAAGAAATTAGTTTTAACGTTTCCTCTTAAAACTTAAAGTCATATTTTCTTTAAATATCAATGTGGCAGAGTAACCGAATGAGATGGTTTTACTACCAAGTCTAAGCTTCAAGCTACCTTCTAACTGGTGTCTATGATATTCATGGCGCAATTCTTTTGATGATGGACTAGTGATTTATTTGAAAGATAATATTGGACATAGCTTCGTTTGCAAAAGAGTAGGTATATTGCTGACACTTAAATATTTTGCGCTGTCCATAGATATCGGAGAAATTTATAGATCATCTTCCGCATGTAAAAATGAGTTTTAAACTGAGAAAAAAGCAATGTACTAAATTTGGAACTGTAAATAAATGTTATTTGGAAAATTGGAAACAGGATAGCTGTAGATTTTATAGGACACTTCTCACACGTACGCCCTTTACCAAGTCAGATTAACTGCAAACCATGTCAAGCAATGTTGATCTATGATATTTACTTGTTACTTTATCTAAGACCAAAAGAAACCAAAATATCAATAAATTGAGCTGCATTTGAAGAATCGATGCCCAACATATTTATATGGAAATACAAAACCAGCATAAAAATCTATTGCATCGTCTTCAAAATAATTAAACTTACATACATACCTTAACTTAGATTAGACATACTATACATATACCTACAACTCCAAAAAAGTCATCTTTAGTAAGTGTTCGAAATTTGTATAATTTGCAGACCGTTAATTTGCAACAGAGTTAGTATTTTTAAAATTACATATCCCAAAGCGGTTATACTTAAAAGTCGCCTGAGAAAAATGATTAAACTTTAACAACCTAATAACTTGTAAATTGACGAGTTTAGAGTATGGTACCAGTAGTTAATTTGGGGTATTTTAAATTGTTATAAAGTTAAATATTATTTTTCAGTGCGTAATGGATATTCCTGCGTACCAGTCGCTCTAGCTGAAGGATTGGACATAAAACTGAACGCTGCAAGTAGGAAAGTGGAATACAACAATCAAGGTGTCGAAGTGACCGTCTACAATCCAAGAAATCCACAAACTACAAACACTTATCATGGTAAATATTATCAAGCCATTAATATTTCAGAAAACGAATAATTTTGAATTATTTATAGCCGACGTTGTTCTGTGCACTCTGCCACTAGGCGTTCTCAAACTAAGCGCCGTATCATCCAGTGGCCAACAAAACACTGTTCAGTTCAGCCCGCCGCTTCCCGACTGGAAAACCTCGGCTATCCAAAGACTCGGCTTCGGAAACCTGAACAAAGTAGTACTTTGTTTTGAAAGAATCTTCTGGAATCCTCAAGCCAACTTGTTTGGACATGTTGGAAGTACCACGGCCAGTCGTGGAGAGCTTTTCTTGTTTTGGAATTTATACAAGGCGCCAGTACTGTTGGCTCTTGTAGCTGGAGAAGCTGCAGCTATAATGGAGAATGTGACTGATGATGTTATAGTTGGAAGGTAAGAACACACTTGTCATATATTTTTACTTTTCCAATTATTTTCTTTGTATTTTTATAATTATGTAAATATCATATGATTTGTTTAATATGCAGTTTTCATATTAATCGAAAAATCTTGAATATATTGTTTCCTAATTAAGTTTTAATTCAAACTAAATTTCAATTAATATAAGTAATCGTCTGATACAATCGTTTATGTAATGAGCCACAGAATATTAATGGAATGAATTTAATCAGTTCCCACTACTTATCATTCATTATGGTGTCTGCTGACAGATATTTCTTATAATAATGCTTTAATTATTAATAAATTCATCAGATGATACTAATATTCAAGCAGATTTTGTTAATTCAGCAAATTAATATTAATAATTGCTGATACTGTATCATTTGACATAGGTACCTAATATTTGAATTCATTATGATCAGTGAAAATCCAATAAGGCAATTAAAATGGCTATAAGTTAAGAAGTTTTTCTCAACACAGACATTTTTGGACAGCTGATGAAAGCTTGCAATTTCTCAACCGCACAATGAAAATTTTCGGAATTGAACATCTTGATGACTGAAAAAATGGGTATTAGCGTTTTCTAGTTTGAAGAATTGTATGGTAATTCTTCGAGCAATATGTATTCAGTAAAAAAGTTTTTGCGGGCTATAATGTCGTGGTCGAGTGATATTTCTACCTAACGTTTCGTCTATTACTGCGGTAGACATCTTCAGAGGCGGTGTGGTAGACGACGAAGTGTTCTCTTCCGTGTTCCTCCGATGACTGGATTCGATGTTACTGGACCTGCGTTATTTATATCCAGGGTTGTGGGCGTGGATTGTATTACGCTATTTTCCTTGTCTCGTTTTTGGAAAGGAAGGGTCTTTGTTTTTCAGACCTGGCAACCAGCTTTTGCCAGTTCATGCCGTCTGTTGAAGTTGCTGTGGTGTTTCTGTATCTCTATGGCTTCTCTGTGGAGTATGGTGTAAAAATGTTTGGTTCTATCCAATGCTTGAGTCTGGTCGAAACGAATGACATAGTTCGTTTCTGTTAATACGTGTTCGGCGATTGCTGATCTATCTATTTGTCCTTGCTGACAGTTTTTTTTGTGCTGTTTGACCCTGGTGTTGATAGAGCGTTTGGTGGTTCCTACATAGACAGATCCACAAGAGCAGGGAATTCTATAGATGCCAGTCATTTCAAGAGGTGCCCTAGGATCCCTGGCCGATCTCAGACTTTGCTGAATTGTTCTTGTAGACGGTCTTATTGATCTATTTATCTCCCTTTGGATTACCCATTTCCTTCAAGTGCTGATTTCAGGTGTTGCATCTCGTCCTGAAGGTATCTGGGTTCACAAATCCGGATTGCCCTGTCAGATAGAGTTTTAATGACTCCTCTCTTTTGCCTAGGATGGGGATTGGATTCCTGGTTGAGGTATCTGTCCGTATGCGTCGGCTTCCTATATACTCTGTGTCCCAGTTTATCAGGTAGTCGATTCTCGAATTTGGTAGAAGTGAACGTTCCCCTAAGAGAAGTGAGAGATCAAATCGCACGCTCGTTATCTTGGTGCCAAAGTTGGTATTCTCGAAAGTATGGGATTATGATAGAATGAGAGAAAACTTGTCAAATCATAATGCGTTGTTGCCAACAGTAATATGTAGAATTAGCCACAATTTTAGTGCTTTAAAAGGACGAATGTCATGAGAAAAAAGAAAATCAGTTTGTTTTATTTGTGTTTTGGGACGTAACCTCATTATTTGCTTATTTATTTACTGAAAATCAAATCATTAATTATTCTATTACAATTAATTATCTCTTACAATTTTTATTTTCGTGTTGTTTTTTTTATTGTTTATGTGGAAATGAATTTGGAAAAATCAAGATGATGTTCACCTATAAATCATACTCAAAAAAAAAATGCTCACTGAATTTGTAACGCAAAATGAGAAACTTCAAATTGGAAAATTTACCTCCGATTTTACCACAGTTTTTAATGATGAAGTTCTAGTTGGAGCCCGTATAAAAGGTGTCAATAAATCAATTAAATTTCGAGCAAGATCTTTGCTTAATCTAAATCTAAGTAGATTTATAAATTTATTATCCGTTAAATCAAAGGGATTTTCTCTTCTGTAAAATCTCCTATAGGTATAGGCCTTTCTTCTTGCTCTTCTGTATCTACACCATTTCCAACAGTATTTCAAATTCGGTCAAATGTATTTCAAAATAATCACTTTTATTTCAAAAACTGATATTTTAATTTCAAATTTGTCACTTTTATTTCACAGAGTATCATTTGTATTTCAGAAAGTGTAATTTATATTTCCAAGTAATCAATTGTATTTCAAATATGTTATTTCAATTTCCAAATATATCATTTGTATTTCAAATTAATCAAATGTATTTCAAACTGTACCATTTTTATTTCCAAAAAAATCAGATGTATTTCAAAATCATCATTTCTTATATTAAAAACTGTAAGGGATGTACAAGGTGTCTGGTTATAATTTCATTTTTTTCAATGTACGATATAAACACATACCTACTTTATTTTTTAACCGAATTGGTAATCTTTGAAATATAACTGACCATTTTTGAAATACATTTGATGTATTTCGAAATAAATTTGGGTATTTTGAAATACATTTGATGTATTTTGAAATAAAGTTTATAAAGATTGAAATTAAATTGATGATTTTTGATATTCAATTGATGATTTTGAAATACATTTGTTATTTTTTTAAATTAAAGTTGTTATTTTGAAATACATTTGATGCTTTTTGAAATCTACTTTATCTATTTTGAACTAAAAGTGGAAATGGTGTAGTAGATCATTCAGTACAAGAATTCTTCCTATAACCCCAGCTTCCATGGTTTCCCACGTTTTCGTATTGGACCGTATTTTCCACTTCAACACAATATGCAAATATACCCAATTTGCAATTACTGATAATAAATAATTTGCAAAACAAACAAAAAAATACCATGGATGATGACTGTAGAATTGACAAAAAGCGCATGTTTGACGTTTGGTTCTCCCGAGAACAGACGTTCTCTTCAAAAAAAGTAGAATAAAATTCTCTCCACTTTCATAGGAAGTGAACGGTCCCTAATTTCGAGAATACGTCGTAATAGATTTTAATAGAAATCACGCGTACTTTTCCTATGAGAACAGGATCACACGATTCGAGAATCGCCGTGCTGAGGGTAATCTTTCTAAGATGACGTCGAGGAATGGAATTTTGTTGTCCTTCTCCACTTCAATCGTAAACTCTATCCTGGGTTCTATTGAGTTTAGATGATTAAGGAAGTTTTCGAGCTCTGCCTGTCTATGGTTCCAAACAACAAAGGTGTCATCTACATAGCGAAATCAACAAGTTGGCTTCTTTGTGGCCGTTCGCAGTGTCATTTGTTCGAAGTATTCCATGTAGAAGTTGGCGATAACCGTGCTGAGTGGACTCCTCATTGCGACTCCATCTGTCTGCTCAAAGAATTCATTCTGCCATTGGAAGTACGTAGTCGTCAGACAGTGGTGAAATAAGTTGTTGATTTCCCCCGAAAAAACATCTTTCAGATACTCCAAGGCCTGATTCACTGGTACCTTGGTAAACAACGAGACGACATCAAAACTAACCAGAATGTCGCTTGGTAGTAGAGTAATATCACTAATCTTTTTGATGAAGATGAGTGGAGTCTTTAACATAAGAGCCAGATTGGCCAATCCGTGGCTGAAGCAGAGTGGTGAGTATATTAGTCCTAGCGGTACATGAAAAAAAAACGGCAAATTGTGTTAAAAGCATGAATTTTGGTACACTTGGTCTTTGAACCATAACAATTGATTTGGCCCGTAGCACTACCCCACAACTGTCATTTGTTTATATTACAATTCACTGGATCTATTAAAAAAGCACAAAACAGGCTCACCAGATGCCAATGCCAAATAAAATTTAGATTGGAAGTTGATAAAAAGGACGGAAAGTCATGCTGACCCATGCAAAGGCAATCCTGACCCAAGTCGCCACTTTGATTAATTGTTTAAACATATTGTTCACTTTTGTTTATGCAAAATTATTGATTTTTAGGATATTGCATGTGGGAAATCGATTTCGACTATAGTCTGGCAAGTGGTAACTTGGTAGAGACGAAAGGGGGAAGAAAACTGGGGCGTTACCTAAAAATATTCACTGACACCTCAACTGACACCGTCTGATGACAGCCATGTCTTTGAGTTCAGTGGCACCGAAAACACCAAGGAAATAAACCAATAAAATTATTAGAAAAAAGATTCTCTAGTTTCGCCAATAACCACGCCACTGCGTGCTGTCATTCAGGCTCTAACCAATAGAATCTTGTTTCTGAATAATCACGCCTCTCCACTTCCATCATTTCGCAATGTTGCCTGATTTTTTCCTATTTCAAAATATGACACATGCCCATATAGCAAAAAAAAAAAATGTCACCAACTTGTTTATTATTTTGTTTCTAATTTCCGTCAAGTTTGGCAAAGCAGCAAATTCTTTTGCAGTTCGCCGTTTCGCTAGCCAGACTATAATTAGGGGTTAAAAATCTCGAATAATAACATTAGAACTCGTTTGCAAGGCTTTTTTAATTGTTCTTCTGGATTATAGAAGAAAATATTGAACAAAATTTGACGCTCAAGTGACAGTGGATAAATAACTGAAAATAAATGAATTAATAAAACCATTAAATAATAGCTATTTATGTAACAAGTTGTAAAATGAGCGTGTTTTTTGCACTAAATGTGAAGATTGAACACTCAGTGTTGATAAAGAAAGTATTAATCACCTGTTAAAAGATGGATGTGAAACTTTATCGAAAATCATCAGAAAAAAAAAACCTCAATTTGACGCAAATTTTTTCATACTTTCATTCCATAAGGGCCGCATAAGTGCCCTAAAACCGTACCAATTTCGAAAAAAAAAAGGCACAATGTTGATCAAGACAGTAATAATCTTCTATCAAAAAATGAATGTGGAACGCTATCGGAAATC